TCCTTCCACAGATGTAGTCGATCTGATTCCTATGCATACCATCAGGTGAAGTCCATGTGTATAACCTGCGTTTGTGTCTCTTATAAAATGTATTTGCAGAACCCATAGTGTTCTTTATTATAAATTTTACCCATGGAACAATATGTGGCAAATACAGTTATAAAATACTTAATTGTAGTATTTCTTAGATTTTATGAATATGAACAAAATTGTTTTATTTAATCTTTCTACACTGAATTCCATTATTGTGGCTATGTACCATCAAGTCAGAATCAACTCATATTTAATCCTCCAACAGGTTTTCAGAAGCTATAAATTGCTTGGAGGAGATTGCCCAGCATTTTCCCACAGAGCAGCTCATCGATTCAAACCAAGTGCCTTTAGGTTACCAGTGCGACTCCTGACAAAGTTAGAGCATTATTAACAACTATGCATAATCTTTTCTCAATTTTCTCTTTGTTTTCCTTTTATTACAAACTTTTTCACCCGCAAAAAAAATTCATCAATACATTTGAATTGTTTGCAGCTTACTCTCACTCCCTTTATTCAATATGTAGTAAAGAAAATAATACAAGTTGCTAATGCGGAAATCTGGCAATCTGTCACTGCCACCATAGAATGCCAAGGCAGGAGCCTTTGTTACTAGCATTCTTCAGAGACTGTGTGTCAGCTCATCAAAACAGAAATATTCTGAGGGAAACACCCAAGCCAACAATGATATAGATCAAGTAGAAAATGCTGACCTTCTTGGTAATATTCTATTCACAATCTATTGGGTTTTCATCCCAAGAACACAATCAGTTAAGAAAATATTGAGCCTTTTTACCAAGTATCTCTTAACTAGTATATTACTATCAGTTCCTACAGTTCATGAGGATGAAGCCAGCAAACTATTGTGTTAAAATTGACACCAGTGCTGATTTTTTTTTCATTAAATACAGCATACAAATATTTTAAATCTTTCCATTTGCCAGCCCTGTTTATACATACAAAATTCTATCCATATATGGAATATCAATAAATTCTTATCTGTATTCCAACAACTCTTATTTTCATTTATTTTGAAAAGCAACTTAGTTTGAAAAGCCTTGTTTAGGCCACTTTATCTTGTGGGGGTTGTGCTCATTTGATCCCTAAATTGTAGTTCCCACTTACAGCCAATGGCTACCTAGTCCAAAGTGGCTCACCATGCTCAAGTTAGACTTTCTCTTCTAGTAAAAGATGCTTTGTCATGTCTACAATTTAAATATTAAAACTGAAAGGGCACAGATAAAGTACAATACATAAAACAAGGTCAATCTTTCAGGGTGTTGAAAACATGATAATATAGAAAGAAAAGTCAATGGATTCTCTTCTTTTAAAACTTTGCCAAAGACTCCAAATATTATTTTAATATTCTATTTGTACAGACTTTTGTGTTTTAAAAAATTCTCCCAGCATGAGATAAATCTCTAAAATGGAAAGTTCTTTACATTGAAAGGTCACCAACTCCCTTAAGATCTGGGCCTG